TTCAGACTTCTCCAGAAACCCAAGCCACCTTTCCAGTCTTAAGATGCTTTGCAGGAAATCTTTGTTCAGCCAAACAGTTCCCTTGTCTGTGTGTTCCAGAGCGCGCCTCATGCCTCCCACTTGCAGCTTTCTCCCAACCAGACTGTAAGCTGCTGGAGGGCGTGACTGTGTCAGACTTTGTCGTAACAGTGGTCCCCAGTGCAGTCCAAAGCACATGGGCCCTCAATTAGTGTTTTTGAATAAACACATTTTCTCTATATAAATTTTGGTTTCTGTGAAGCAGATAGCACTCATTTTTCTTCTTTTTTTTAGTATTTCTTACAGGAACTGACAGAATTCAAATAAAAGGTTTAAAGAACATGAAAATAACATTTTGCTGTCCTGAAAATTTGAATGAAAAAGATCCCATACGAGCACAGACATGTTTTAGCCGCCTCTACCTCCCTAAATATTCTACAATGGAAAGAGTAGAAGAAGCACTCCAGACAGCCATCAACAACAACAGAGGGTTTGGCTGAGCTACCTACCTCACACTCTTCACCCCTTTTGGGAAATGTTTTCAAAAATAAAATTAACTTAAAAATTAACATAAAAATCTTGCTGACTGTTCACTGTGTTTACCTGCTTTTTTAGAATTCCTATTTTTGCTTGTAAAATGTATTGGCAATGATATAGATTAGGCTGTTAAAACAAGTGCATTGAGAAACACAGTGCATTGAGACAGAAGGGTTTTTTCTCATAAATGTCTGGGTAGTTTGTCCAGGGCTTAAGTGGTTCTTATCCCTCTCAAACTGCTCTAGTTACCTAGATGACTTTCTTGTTGCAAATTTCAATGGAGACTTGCACATTTCTGTCTTAAATATATGCATCGCGTTTGAAACTATTGACTCCTTTCCCCTCAAAACTCCTAATGAGCTGCTAGGCTTTCTTTTGCGTGGCTGCTTCCCCATTTCTTTTGCATGCTTCTCTTACACTTCTTGACCTTAAGTGCTCATCTGGTCATCTTTTCTCACTCTACACATACTCCTTCTTACTGCTGTGGCATCAGTTATTTCCATGCTGATTATACCCAGATCTCTCTCTGTCCGACAGGAACTGACAATACAGCACCACAGCCATTTTTCCTACGTAGCCTGTGTCTACCTGCATACTTCTCAGCTCCTTCATCTCAACATTTAAGAATATGATCATTTTTCCTGTATTCTGCAGCTTAAAATGGTACCACTAACACCTCCTTCAACCATCTTTCCTTCCTCCAATTCATCCCCACATTTAAAAAAATCAGGTTTTGACAATTCCTGCTCTTCATCTTCCTCTAAGCCCACTGCCAGTGCTTTAGTTTAGGCTCTTATCATCTCCTGTCCCATCACTGCAGTCCTCTCTCAGCTGATCTCTTTGTATCTAGACCAACACTGTTCAGTAGAACTTTCTGTAAGGCTGGAAACCTAGGTGGGCTTCCCAGGTGGCACTAGTGGTAAAGAAGCTGCCTGCCAGTGCAGAAGACTAAGGAGACACGGGTTTGATCCCTGGGCCGGGAAGATGCCCTGGAAGAGGGCATGGCAACCCACTCCAGTATCTTGCCTGGAGAATCCTATGGATGAAAGAGCCTGGCAGGCTCCAGTTCATAGGGTTGCAGAGAGACACAGCTGAAGCCACTTAGCACACACGCAGAAACCTAAGTAGATCTGCACTGTTGAAGAAGATGGACTCCCTGCTGTAGATGAGGTTTAGTTGTTGAATGTTGAAGAGAGAAAACTTTCATTGGTAGTAATGGGAGAAACAGTGTTGAGCTATGCTGTCCAGTAATTTGTAGCTACTTAACTGGTATTTAAAACTCAATTCCTTAGTCATACTAGCCACATTTCCAGTGCTCAGTGTCTACATGTGACTGGCGGCTACAGTATTAGTGCAGATGTGAGCACTTGCCACATTAGGGGTCCATACACACAAAACCCCTGCAAATTTGCATGTGCTTTTTTCCCCTTTTTCTAGGAAGTGTTTGTCAGCTGCATATAGCAAAACAATTTTAAAATCAAGCAATAATGTCCAATTTTATTAACACGGTTATTCTAGTTTGAAAATCCAACCTGATGTGCCTCCTGGTCTCCCACCACGGCCTTGCATATACAGTGTACCATGTTCTAGTCATTTTTGACAAGCTCAGTTTCCTCAACAGGCCACATGGTTTTTCTTTTGCTTGGAACCCTTGTCTCATCCCACCCCCACCCCTGCTGCTGCTTCCTCACCTCCTGCCTTCAGTTCCACCTCCCTCTCTGCATGAGTTATCCCATCATTTGTCAGGATTCACTGCAGCTATCATGGCTGTCCACGTGCCATGAGAGTGAATTAAGTTTGTGGGATATGGCTATCTAGCTCAATGTCCCAGCTAGTCTCTCAGTGTCCTGAGACACCTGAAAGTGAGTTGGCCGAGAGTGCCACCTAGTGGCTTGTGCATAAAACAGCAGTCACTTCTGAAGAGAATTTCAGTAAGCTGGGCAAAACAGAAAAGGGAACAGGCCTTTCCCTCCGTAACTACACATAGTAATGAGAATCTACTATGGCTTTTGGCTGTAACAGGTAATTTTGTATTTCCTGCGTCATTTAAAACTCCTACCAGGCCTGAAAGTTGGTATCATTTCCATGTCACAGATGGGCAGGATCTGTTCAGAGAGGCTTCCTTAAAAGCCCACTCTGCAGGAATGGAAGAAAATGAAAAGGTAAAGTAGGTCATGACAAGTCCTTTCTTGCTCCCTCAGGGTGGAAAATCCCCACTGACAAAGTTGGTGGTAAGGAGCTTATTCATAGGTATTAAAGATGATCCCTGTCAGTGATGCAGTGAGGACAGTAGGGAACATAGTCTTGCTAAGAGGCTCCGAGGAGGCAAGAGGTCCCTGCCATTGTGAAGTAAGCTAATTATTGGGGCTGTGGGTGGGAATGAGTGGGAAAGAGTTCCAATCAGTGCAAGAATCAGCAGTATTTCCATGATGGGTTTACACTGCAACAATATACTTAGGAAAACACAAAGGTCATCAGGCTTGACTAAGTATTAGAATCCAAGCATTTTGATACCTCCTTCTATTTTTCCTGAAAATAGAAAGGATGAGTTTGCTCAAAATAAAGCAGTACTGTTACAGTGATTCAGAAGACAGACCAAAACTGCATTCCCGAGTGGTTTCAACTTCAGTTATTGTCCATTGCTCTGGGTTAAACCATTTAATCTGTGTGCTTTAGTTTCCTCATCTGTAAAATTGTTAATATTACCCACCCTACCCCTTAGAGTATGAGATTTTGTGTAATATGTTTAGAATTGTACCTAGCGTATACTTTGTACTACACAAACGATTACTAACTAAATACTAGTGAAAGGATGGAGTTCATACTGTAGTCCCCCAGGGCTTTGCTACTCAGTTTCCTCTAATATGGTAAAATGCTTTGCTTGAAAAAGCTAAAATTGACTTTTTAGAATACAGTGCTTGCTTTATCAGAATTGTCTCATAGAGCAAATTAAAGAGTAATACCATTTCCAGAAGTGATGGGTCCCTCATTCAGTCTTCTGTGTTATTTGTATATTGCCATAAGAGTAATTTTTAAAACAAGACTTGTACTAGAGTATATACATTGAATTTATACAATAGAAAACACATCTAAACTAATTTTAAATTTCTTTTGAAGGAGAAGAATCACTATCTAAAGTTTCTGTTAAACTGCTTTAAGATTCTATTAAGAATCAAAGTTATATTCACTTCTTAGGTTTCTTTGGGGTAACTACTGAAACATGTTGCATCTCTGAAACAGTTACTAATCAGTCTTGTTGAAAGTTCTGGAAAGTCAGGACTATTAATATGTCAAATGCTCATGCTCTTAGTATTGCTAAATAGGTCTATGGCAGGAAAATGAACTGAAATGTGAGGCATAACACTAACTCTAGGACACAATCAGCTATTTTCAAGTCTTTCAACCCCACCTCTACCCCCAGAAGCACATACTTTCCTGGGAAATTTTTCTACTTTGGGTAGTTGAGTGTCTCTCTAAACATAGCCTACAGTTTGAAATTCAGAATATTTTACATTTCCCCTTTCTTAGAATCACACTCTTGTGACCAAAGGAGGGGGAGAAAACACAAAACTGCAAATTGCTTAATGGCAAGTGTCAATCTCTTTTTATTTATTATTTTATTAAAATTAATGTAAGCATTTGATGCCAAAGAAATGATGGTGATTTTAAAAACTCAGAATTTTGGCAAGTCCATGAAGTTTCCATTTTATTATAGTTTTGTATCACATTAGTTCAAATGCATTTCTCTACAACTACTCCAACATAGCTCCTTTGGAATTAGTCATCGTTAACATGTGACATTACCAAAGACTTTGAATCTAAACATAAAATTTCAAAATAGTTAATTATGAATGGGTAAGCTATCAAGTGATGGCTGGGGCTGTTAATTTCCAACAAGACACTTTGTTGAAATGTTCCTTCTGATACCCCAGGTATAAATGAGAACCTTCAAAAAACAAGGGCAGAACCAAAATACAGTAAAGATGCCTCTGCAGCTTAAGCCTCCCATAGACCTAGACCCCTGACGGAAACCTAGGCAAAGCATCTTTCCGGTTTCCAGTATTTCCATGTAGACGAGCTTTCAGAGACAGGCACTCAAGCATATCATTAGATATACCATCTTGGCTCTGGCTTCGTTAATTATGCCTGAAGAGTTTAATACCCATCCAAGTCCAAAGGTGGAAGAACACATAAACAGGTATGGTGATTGGCAAGAGCAGACTGTAAAAGCACAGACTGGTGGTGCTAGTGCAGCCCTGAGGGAAGTCCTCTTCCACAGAGGCTGAGTAAAACAGTCCTGCTAAAGACACCAGTGGGATCAGGACAGTCAACGTAGGAAGAGACAGAAACATCCTTCTCCTCCACGTATTACCCGCCACTCTGACTTTTTACAAGGGAGGTGGTATTTAGAATATTTAGTTGTGTGTTGTGTTTTTAAGTATGATCTAGTGCTGCTCCACTTCTTCTTGCTTCTTATTTTGATGTGTCATCCTAGCTGCCTGTGGTATCATATTAGGAATCCCATCAATAATTGGATAGGCTATGCCTAACTCTTCATTAATCAATTCATTTGTCGATGCTTCATATCTGAGGGGGAAAAAAAACCAAAATGAATCATGGAAAACAGAATGCTTGGAAGAGCTTGATGTTCAGTAACAGTAACATTTATCTAATGCTAAACATGGAGTTAATCCAAGAAAAGCAGAATTAGACTGCTTTTCATTTTAAAAGCAGTAATAGCCAATCGAACTATTTCTCTTAGAAAAATAAATCTCTTAATTGTTCCCATTTTAGTCAGTTTCTCTCATTTCCTTTTTTCACTTTATCCTCAAGCTATGCCTTAATCTTCTAAAATACCAGTCAGAAAAGATCTTGCCCTTTTCATCCAAATATCCCTTCATTACTCTTTTCAACCCCAAACAAGCCCCATTAATTTATTACTGGAACAGACACTAGAGAAAATTTCAACTTCTTCGTTTTAGAATACATACTTAATAGAGCAGCCTTATTGACCCATTAAAAGGGAAACCACTGAAAAATCAAAATACACAAGTCTGAGAAAGAGAAGGCAAAAATGAGGAAACTTCTGAATGTTAGGTCTGCGAATGTGCTATTTACACAATTAGCCAAAAAGCAGATCAAGTGGTAATTTCAAGGTTTAAGAAAACTGAATGAGCAATATGTTCATTATGAAAAATACTCAGAAAAAGAAATGAAAAAGATGAAAATAAAGATTACTAGCAATCTACCACCCAAAGACTGCTACTGATAACATTTCGGTGTTTACTAGTGTTGTGAATGTTCAGTTTTAGTAGCCTGAGACACACTATGGCTGTTAATCCTCAAGACTCTGGGTTAAAAGTTAAGAAGGCCTAAAAAGAAAAAAACCAAAAAAACCAGCTAGTTGAGAATTAAAAGCCAAAAGGCAGCACACGTAGTTTACATGCTTAAGATCGTACACGGCATTTCCCCAAGAATCTGGAAGCTACTACATTTTTCATCATCTTGGCTTAAAAATCGGAATGCCTTGGGTTTCCAATAGTTCATAAACTTGGCTCTATGTGAGAAACACCTGCGGTCCCGTTAAGAAAATACACAATGGCTCAGGCCCCGCCTCCAGGCCTTCCGATTCACCCCGCCCTGGGTGGTGCCTGGAAATCTGCCAGCAACGCAGGCGAGACAAGACTCACGAGTTCGAGCCCTCGGTGGGGAACATGCCCTGGAGGAGGAAATGGTAACCCACTGCACTCTTCTTGACTAGAAAATTCCGTAGGCAGAGGAGCGTGGTTACAGTCCAAAGGGTCGTAGAGTCGGACACAACTGAACACAGCAGTAGCAACTGGCGATTCTAATGCGCAGCCAGTGACTAACCTATATACGCCTCGACCCAAGCCTGCGAGTCGGCGGTTTGGCTTCGGAGGCCTCGGTTCCCCTCCGGTGTCCTGTCTCCCTTCCCCCCGCAGAGGGAAGATTTGGAGAGCTGGCGGGCCCAGGTCCAAAAAATGGCAGCAAGGAATACCCAGAGTGACCTGAAAGACTCCTCAATGGCTGTAAACGGCCATGCGGTCTACCTGTCCACGCCCCTCGATTGAGGCCACGAAGGAAAACCCGCAGCGGGCGAATCTCACCTGAGCGGCTTCTTGGAGAGCGGACACACCAGAAACTCCAACAAGGCCTGGTCGAAGGCGCGGGGCGGTTTCTCCGTCCTCTCGCTCTTATCTGTGGACGGCCGCGAGCTGGACGCGTGCACACACCTCAGGGCGACCGCGGACGGCGGCGCGCGTGTCCCTCGCAGCGCTGACGCGAGCCGGCCGCACACTCCGCTCAGCATGGTCTGCCAGTTCGCGACCGGGCCTCTGCGCGCCCTCGGCCACCCGGGCAGCTCTGATCGAGTCCAGGGAATCCAGCCCCACTGGCCTGGCCCCGCCCCGCGGTGCTCTGGAAACGCCGTCCCCGACAGGTGGAGACCGGCGCTTTGGTTCCGAGGGCGTTCCGAGGCCGCCACTGCTTTTCCCTCGACACCGCTTGGTCGGTGACAGTCGCCCAAGACTCTTGGAGCTGTTCCTGCGCGTTTGCAAATTACAAAGAACACCAATGCTTAAGTGGAGGTGACTTGAGTTCACCGGAGGCTGTCACAGGGTTGCCAAGAAGCAAGTGGCCGAACCTCAAAAGTCACACAGTGTTACTCTTGGACCTACGCGGTTATCACCAAAATAGGGTTTCAAGCACACTGTCATATTGGGTATGTTAAAAACATTACTTTGTTTTTATGTAAATCTTTACCAAGGTTCCTGTAACCTCGGTTTTTTTTTTTTAATTCTTTCATTAAAAAAAAAATAAGAATCTGAAAAGATTGGTTTAGTCCTTTTAACCTCTAAGCTGTCCAGATTCTTACCCTGGGGAACTCATCCTGAAGTCAGTGGCATAACAGTAGCACAACGAATCTGCTTCTATAAATGAGCTTGGAAACTTCCAGAAGTCTCCATAACTGCGTCTGTTAGTTAAATGGGTGAACCATTCAATGGATTTTTCACCCCATGTTTGCCTCTTAGTCTCCAAGGAAATGACGCAGATTTAATCTGTTTCTTATAGTGTAGTAGATAAGTTCTTGGGCTCTGGGGTTCATAGTTTACTAGTTGTATGACTCCAGCAAATGCCCTAAGTCCTGCTTCCTTATTTATATAATAAGATTAGTATTGTACCTACTTCACTTACCTAATTTAATCCCCATGTGCAAATGCATGTGTAAACCGCCTGGCCGTTTACAGCCAGTGAGGAGTCTTTCAGGTCACTAAAGAGCATTTAGAAAATTAATTTTTGCCTGGGACAAATTAATGCTCAATTAATGTTATCTACAAATATTTTTATTTTTTTCTATTCTTCCTTATGCAGTGTACTGCTGCTGTTGCTGCTAAGTCGCTCAGTCGTGCCCGACTCTGTGACCCCATGGACTGCAGCCTACCAGGCTCCTCCATCCATGGGATTTTCCAGGCAAGAGTACTGGAGTGGGGTGCCATTGCCTTCTCCAGCGCATGAAAGTGAAAAGGGAAAGTGAAGTTGCTCAGTCCTGTCCGACTCTTAGTGACCCCGTAGACTGCAGCCTACCAGGCTCCTCCATCCATGGGATTTTCCAGGCAAGAGTACTGGAGTGGGGTGCCATTGCCTTCTCCGAGTGCAGTGTACTAGGAGATTCTTTGTTACTCATCGTTCTTTTCCCTCATTTCGGTAAATATTTAACCTTTTCTCATGTCATTGGGCTTTACCAATTCACACTTGGAGTTCCTCAGAGGTAGAAGTGGGAGTGAGGAATATAGAGACACAAATACAAGATTATATTTTCAAATTTCTCTTCCTCTCAGCAATGTAAAAGTGGAGAAACTTTTATTTTGTTTTTTCACTCTAATTTTGAAAATTCTTTACATTATTTGATATACTCTTTGTTTACTAATGCTCAAAAGATTTCAACCTAGGCAGTTGTCAGGTATGTGGCCTTAAGAAAGTGAAGTCGCTCAGTCATATCCGACTCTTTGCGACCCCATGAACTGTAGCCTACCAGGCTCCTCAGTCCATGGGATTTTCCAGGCAAGGATACTGGAGTGGGTTGCCATTTCCTTCTCCAACTAGGACAGTAGTAGGAATTAATTTTTCAGGTGTAGTTGGTTGATAACTAGGGAAGGAGTGAACTGTAGGAAAGATAACTTTCAGCGAGATATGGGGACACAGAGGTTGACTTCTGCCAGCATTGAATGAGCTCAGGCCAGGCTGTGCAGGCTGGAATCTTGACCCCTGTGGGGTAGGGCCAGGCACCCATGCTTACAACAAGCTTCATTAGCTTCAGTGCACCTCATGTGGCTGATAGATTCTGATCAACTGGGTTTTCTAACCAGTTACAAATAAGTTAGTTTCAGTTTTCATCCATATAGAAGGTTTAAAGCAGATCAGTTTAATTTATATTAGTATTGGGGAAAAATGGGGAGTGACAGCAAAGTATTGAAAATGTCTTCAAATTTGGAACACCCCAAATCAACATCCAGTATTTAAGGAACATCTGAGTGTGTAAAGCATTAGTCCAAACCATGTAAATATTAATTTGTAAAATTTCCCTAAACAGCCCTTGATAATTAAGGAATCTAACTCATTTCTGCATGTAGTATACTAAGCTGAAAACAGGTGACAGTATAGAATTGCAAAGTCATTGATCCATTTTTACTGCTAGCGTGGCTATGATCATTCCTGTCACAGAGATCTGGACTCAGGTACCATATTAGCTATGTGACCTTGGGAAATTCCCTGCCTCAATCTTATCCTCTGTAAAATAGTATAATAATACTACTTACCTTATTAGAGTTGTTGAGGGGATTAAATGGAGTGATAGTAATACAAGGAAAGCAGCTAGCATAGGGGCTAGCATGGAGTACACATTTTAAAAATATTTATTACTTATTTCTTTATTTTTGGCTGTGTTGTGTCTTCGTTGCTGTGTGAGCTTTTCTCTAGTTGTGGTGGGTGGGGGCTACTCTCCAGTTGGGGTACTCAGGCTTTTCATTGCGGTGGCTTCTCTCGTGGAGCACGGGCCCTGGGGCGTGCAGGCTTCAGTAGTTGCAGCACGCGGGCTCAGTAGATGTGGTGCACGGGCCCAGTTGCTCCGCAGCATGCGGGAATCTTCCTGGGTCAGGGATCAAACCCATGGGCAGATAGATTCTTTACCACTGGGCTACCAGAGAAGCCCCAGAGTACACATTTAAAGAATGTTATAAGAGCAGCATAATCCCTTATTGTGAGGAAGCTGGAGAAAATTCTAATGAAAAAGCAAAGTATAGTGTACCACTGGGAATCCGAATTTATACTTTACAATATGGATAATATTGAAACACAACTCTTGGGTTATCATATACATTAAGGGAGTTAGAAAACACAGGCAGAGGAGAGGCTAGAGTATATATTTTAGTAAAGTCCCATAAATGCTAAATTTGGGGCATTGATATTTGGGAATCTCTTATTCAGAGGGAGAGAGAAGTTAAAATCACTTTTCCACTAGATGGCATCAACCAATATTTGAACTAACATTTGTTCCTGCTTATACTTTTCTTTCTGTGATTACAAATTTGTCCTTATTTTGCCAGTTGTTTCCTAAATTTGAAGACATCTATTTAGGAATAAAGGGTTGGACACGACTGAACGACTGAACAACAACAAAAATTTTAGGAACAAAAGACACAAAAATTTTATTAGTAAGTTACAATTGTAATGAGTTCATTAAAATCAAGGGTCTGACAGATAAATGCACAAAAGTATGAAAAAAAATCACAATTGAAAAAATACAGTTGATCAGTAAACACATAATTATTCATCCTCAGTAGTAAAGTAATGTAAGTTTCAAACATCAAAGAAGTTTCCATTTCTCACCTATAAAATTATAAATATTTTAGAAATGTAATTAGTATTTGCCATTCATTTATTAATTTATTGAGTGCCCACTATGTGGCAGATACTGTCAAAGTTCTCCAAAGAAACAGAAATTAATTCTGAGTGTGTATGTGTGTGTGTATACAGGGAAGAGTTTATTATGAGGAATTGGCTCACAGGACTGTGGAAACTGAGAGACTCAGGAAAGCCAGTGGTAAAATCCCATCTGAATCCCTGAAGGCTTGAGGGCCAGAGGAATGGGTGGTGTAAATCTTAGTCCAAGGGCAAGAGAAGACAGATGTTCTAGCTCAAGCAGCCAGGTAGGAAGCAAAAGGCAGGAAATCCTCCTCCTTTTTGTTCTATTCAGACCTTCAATGGATTGAATGATGCTCATTTACATTGCAGTGAGTTATCTATTTTACTGAATCTACTGATTCAAATGCTAATCTCATCTGTTCCTCGCATACACAGATGTCTAACCTGGGCAGCCCTTGGCCCAGTCAAGCTGACACAAAATCACACTGCCCTTGAGGCTGTAGCTATCCTCTGCATACACTGTAATACAGTTTTTAAAAATAAAAACTCATCACAGTACCAAAATGATATTAAGTATAAGTGAAAAAAGAAGGATACTAATTTTATTCATGAGTACAGTTATTTTTTATTTATTTTTTTAATACCAAAAACATTATGTATTGAGGTATAGCTGATTAACAATGTTGTGATAGTTTCAGGTGAGCAGGGAAGGGACTCAGCAATACATATGCATGTATCCATTCTCCCACAAACCTGCTCCCATCCAGGCTGGTGCATAACATTGAGCAGAGTTCCGTGTGTTATGCAGTAGGTTTCTGTTGGATATCCATTTTAAAAATAGCAGTGTATATATACATGACCTTCCCAAAGTGCCCCCACCCCGGCAACTATGAATTTGTTTTCTAAGTCTGTGAGTCTCTTTCTGTTAGTACAATTATTTTTTTTAAACAAGAGTTTAGGGATAGAAAAAAAGAATAAAAATCAATTATTGGTTGTCTTTAGGTTGTTGGGATATTACTGAATTGTTCTTTCATTGTTTGTCTCTTTTAAATTGTTTCTTTAATGAAGTAGTTTTAAACCATAAATATTACCAGTTAATGTTTGAGGTTAATCATTGATAGATGTGTATCTTATTTCAAAACTGTTGATTCAGTCAATGAATATTTATTAAGCACTTCCTGTATTCTCAGTATTATAATAGGAGGTAAAAAGAAGAGGCATAAAAATGTGAAAGATATGATCCAAATTATGGATTTAAAAAGTTCGTAATCTTAAGGGCAGTATGTAGCATAGGATAAAGTTAACTAAAAAGCCTGGTTTATACATGATGCATTTTTGTGTATTTATTCAGCATTTGTTGAATTTGTTTTGTACATCAGGTACACAGAG